AAATTATCCAAAAGAAAAAAAAAAAAAAAACATAAACATATTATGAGTAACTCACTGGAATAGAAACTCAAGAAGAAAGAAGAAATACTCCAAAAAAAAAAATAATAGATACGTATAGAAGAGCAAAACAAAATAATAATAATAAAAAAAAAACAGTAAATGATAAACATTTCAAACACAATGTTCACTCTTTTTCTTTTCGTCCTTGTTTTTTCCAACGACTACGACTACGGATCCTTTTTCGGCGTGAGAATGAAGATGGTCCTACATTTTTATCTTTTCTATGAAATTGAAGTTGTGTTTTGCGTCGGTATTCCCATGGTTTTACCGCATGATCACTTTGCCAAAGTCCACGACGAGCCGCACGTGCTTCCATCATCATTTTATGAAGCCGTGAGTTTGTTAGAAAGCCGCTATCCATTGCCCACGCCCATCCATTCTTCACCATAGACTCCTGCACACTTACATACTCTAAAGAAGGATCTGCGTTTGGATGATGAATGGAGATATCCGCTATTAGTCCTCCCCACTCATCCATACCAGCAACATTACAAATCACCACCTGTGATAAAGAGTAATCCTCTTTATTCTCCTGTTTTTGTTGTTGTTTTTCTTCTAAAAGTAATTTTTTTAAGTATATATGTGCTTCTTTACCGTATGGCTGATCTAATTCTGGTGCATCCACAAGACGCAGACGTACACGCACCATTTTCCCTTCTTTTGTATGACCATAGAATGTATTACCATCTATCACTAATTTAGGGGTAATCACAATAGACTGTCCAATCAACACAGTTGGCTTCTCGTACTGTAGATATGGGAAAAGCACTCCTACAATCAATACAACTGCTGCCACATAATAGCTCCAGACGCTTCTAAGAGGTAGGAAGGCCATAGCATTTCAACCCAACACTCGTACCTCTTTTGTTGCGATAAATAACAGAGAAAAAAAAAAACAAATGATTCCAAGTCAATGAAGGAATTCAGAAGACAAGAAACAAAGAGGGGGAAAGGAGGAAAAAAGAGAAAAAAAAAAGTACATATAAAATAAAATCCATATTTTATCCTCCGAAAGAAAGAAAGAAATACAAAAAAAAAAAAAAAAAAAAAACACTTTTCTTTTGACACACTGATAACAACAAGAAGTCTTTCCAGGGAGGATAAGTAAAGTAACTCCACCTTAACTGTTCATAACCTCCTTGATCAAGGTTTATACACCATCACAAAATTCCTTGCACATGCAATCCTCCCGCTTATGCACTTCATTGTTACCACAACGCCATGTGAGACTTATGCGGTCCCCACGATGTAGAGGTGGGAGAAAATCAGCCAATATGTCTACACGTTTCTCTGCAATTCCATGTGTCCATGCATAGCGTGCCTCTCCAGTCATAAGTATTAAACTCTTTGGTGATAATAATACGCCAATGGGTGCCGTCGCTTCTGGTGGTTTATCATATCGAGAAAACTCCATTACAGTGTGAGAACCAAGAGAGATAATAAATATACCATCTGTAAAAGGGGAATGTGCATCCACATGAGGGGCTATACCGGGTGGTCCTACTGTTGCTACTGTTCCTTCTGTCGTTGTTTTACTATCATAGTCGTAAAAATTTACAGTAAGTTGATCAAAAGTACAAGACTTGGTAAAAGAAGGGTAATCATGGATTTCATAAGATGAATCTTCATTACGCAAACGAGATCGCATCCAATTATAAAAATGTGGATTTTCATTTACAGATTCCCCAACATTTCCTAATTTATTTACACCATAGTAAAAACGTCTATTAAAGTGTGCAACATAACGACGGGAAAGGTTTTCCTTTTCAAGAATTGTAGCTGTAGGACCTTTAAGTTCATCCCATATTGCATCATGTTCATCTTGTGTAATAAAATCATCCACAATAAAAAGTCCAGGAACTTCAGTAATAGATTTACATGAAAGCATATTAGTATCTTTGCATGATTGATTTTTAGAAAAATGTAAAAGTTTTTCAGTTCCTATCGTAATGGGTTGAAAAATATGTTGTAAAGCATGAAATACAGCATCTGCCTTACAGCAAAGCATATACAATACGGAAAGACTACGATTAGGAGAAGATCCACTTTTCCAAATATTCGGCACAGGAATCATATAAACCACAGCCACCACTGAACTTTCATTAGGTACTTCTATTTCCATTGGATCTACATTTAATAATGATGTTAACGTTTTCAATTTATCACTTGGAGATACCAGGGCAAAAGGAAGTAGTGAACTAAAGTATATTCTCATTTCATCACTTTTCACTTGTGTATGTGCGAGAATCACCTGACGTAAATCAAACGGAGTGGCCCCTGCCTGAACACCGGCATTTAATGCAATAAATCCCAATGACTCTTCACTGTCTGGAGTTGCCGTGTACAGTGCGAGAGGCGACAAGTACCTTGCGAGGCACATTATCCACTTGCGACAACGGCTGCGCGCCTTTGCAAGTTCCTTGGGGGAATAATCCATCAAACTCGCCATACTTATCAAAGGAACAAAACGAACACACAATGGAAACAAAAAAAAAAATTATAAATATTTACTTATTATTATTAAAAGCTGTATTTATTAATGTATGAGAGAATCTTATTATGTTTGGTACTTTATATATATATATATAAATATTAGTACCACTGTAGACTTTACACCTAGCCCTCCCTTCCCCCTTTTGAAAAATTTACCTTTTGGTGAGATTGTCTCGTATTTCACGTCCTAATGAAATCCCTAAGCAGCCAAACCGTTGGAAGGATAAGCGAAAAACAAAAACAAAAAAAACAGAGATATAAATAAATAGGAAAACCAGAAAAAGGAAAAAAAGAGGATTACAATGAAACACAAAGAAGAAAAGAATCAAGAAAGAAGCCACACACATACATGAAGAAAAAGGATAGAAACAGTTATGTTTTGTAGAAGATTAAGAAAAACATGATTCAAATACAAATAAGGAAAAAAAAAAAAACACATGTCAAACAAAAAAATAATAATAATTAAAAAAAAATAAATAAATATTAATACACTCCATTCATCACATATATTGCCAAACTATCGCTGACACTTCGTACAAAGGCAAATCTCACACGATGCACAATACCACACACGTCTATGCGTAGCCATATCCTCGCGACGAAGGACATTCTCACCGCATCTGTGGCACAACACCAGCGACTCCCACTGCGTTCGTGGAATGCGGCGATAAATTTCATTTAAAGTTCCGGCGAGTTTTCCATCACGATGGCAGTTTGGACATTTCATCGGCCGCTGCTGCGCGTGCAGGGCCTCACCGTAGTAATTATGTGACACATTCGCCTTGAAGATGCGATCCTCACCGGTCATGCCGTTAACCCTAACTATATCCTCTAGTCAACCTTTTATCCCCCACCCCACTCTTCAGAACTGCTAGTACTACAACTAATATTATTATTATTATTATTATTATTATTATTATTAT